ACACAAGGGTGTAGGTTTGCACAGGGACGGTCAGGATATGTCACAACCGATATTTGAGGAAGACAAAATTGTCCCGACATTTATTTAATAAACAAATAAATACATTTATTATTATATTTTTTCCAAACTCAGTAGTATTAATTGAACACATTTTAGTTCACATTTAGTTTCTTAGACGTTCTGAGATGTATTCAGTGATATGACGACAGGGTTACTCCTGCTGCTGTTTCATTGGCTGTAACAGAGTGATGTCAATTGTGGAGCCAGGAGATTAAACTGGGCAAGTGACAGGACAGGGCCGCACCTGAAGATGTCGACTTGAGCAGACGTGAGTGAAGACGCTGCACTAAACTCTGAAAAACTTTTCAAAAGGAACTTACTCAGCTTCATCTTCTATTAAACTTGTCTTATAATGAGTCGCCGTGGAAAAATAGCGACTATCAGCACAAGTGCACCTCCCAAAACTGAGCCCTCCTCGTGCACAGTTAGCAGCCGAACTCTGTTGACAATATTCCATGGAAAAATGTTTGGACATGACCTCACAAATATCTCATCACCAACAAGCACAGGGAAATCTACTACTAACTTCTACATCACTGTTCTCCACTAAACTATCATCTTAGAAGGACAATGGACACAAACTGTGTATTTTGTGAACTGAAAAATGAAACCACCTCTCACTCATTTTGGACCTGCTCAGACTCTGTGTATTTTTGAAAAGATTTTATAAAACATACAGTGGGGGTGTTAACTGATAATGTTCCCACCAAAGCTGAGACCAAACCTAGGTTCTTGCATCCACATCTCCTCTCCTCCTTTTTTCTCTCCTTCTCTTCCCTCCTCTCCTCCCTAAAAACACTCACCAGCATCTAGTCCTGATAAAGACAGGTGAGTGGTGTTGGTACGGGGAGTCCTGCAGGCCCAGTGTGGCTCTCTGGAGTTTGAGCCGTGAGTGGACTTTGGCTCTGGGAACAGGTGTTTGTCTCCCTCCACTGGTAACACTGAGGAATGATCCACAGTAAAAACAGATAGATCTGTTTTTAAAACCTCTCTCTGATCTGAACGGTCTCTCCCTAAACCCCAGCACCTGCACCATCATGAGTCAGTGCTAGTGCAGCCTCTGCAGCTCAGGGAGGGAATTCTGGAGGTTCTGAGCTTCACATGAGAAATGTCCATAAGCTGAGAATGAGACAAACTTGGATGTGTCCTTTCTTTATTTATTTATTTGTTTGTTTGTTTGTTTGTTTATTGTTTATTTCTTTGTTCACGTGTTGTTTGTTTCTTTGTTTATTGTTTGTTTATTAGGGGCTGTGCACTATAGCAGTACTGAGCATGAGACACACTTGGATGTGTCTTCTGCAGGTGAATGTTAAGTTGTGAAACAACAAAAAACTAAACAAACTGATTAGTGTTTCAAACTCCAGAGCTGAGGGACCGGCCCCTGTACAGTACATCTCCACAAACATCATCACAACAAAAGGTTCTTGTATTTTTGAATACTTTTTACAATAGAATTTGGGGGGTTTTCTTCAGTGGCTTTTCTGGTATTTGACCCCAAACCACTTTAGACTTTTCACTCAATATGATCACTGTCTTTAAAGCTTTTTAGTATTTTTATGAAATTTTTACCATAAATGAAGATGTATTTCTTCAACAGTTCAAACCATATGAGAATCTTACTAGCCCTCAGGGTTACGGGGTACATGTGACCAAATATAACATCTGACTGGATGATGCTGGAGCCGTCACAATAAACAGTGTAAAGAGGCAAACACAGGAGAAATGGAACAAGTGACTGAGGGAACGGCTCAGTCATGATGTCATGCTGTGGATTTATCACAGACTGTATGAACACGTGGACACGTGGACTAAGTGAGTGTGGCGTCACCTACAGTCAAATGAAGCTCAGCCAGGCTTGCAGTTATAGGGGCAAATCAGACGAGTTCCATAATAGGAATTCTGACTGCACGTATCATAGCAACCAAAGAGCCAATCAGGAGCGAGGCTGTTGAAGGTAACGCTGTCAATCAAACCTGCCGCTAACACAAGAGGGAATGACCTCGGGGAAAGAAGGCGCCGGACTGGTCTGTTACTAATGTTTATATCTTGATTTAGGAAAATACAAAGATTTTAAGACCAAAATGACACCAGCTCTTACAGAGAGACACGTTTTACATCACATTTGAGCTATTCAATGGAGCTGAAAGTGAGCCCATACTATATATATATATATATATATATATATATATATATATATATATATATATATATATATATATATATATATATATATATATATATATATATATATATATATATATATATATATACACACACACAAACAGAGGGAGGTGTTCAGGTATTTAAGGTTTTTGATGTTGACTGTGGTAAAAATGTCATAACTCTGCGTATGTACTGTTGGCTCCACAGCTCCTCCTGGTGTTATGATCTTTTATAACAGCAGGATTCAAATCAATCCTTATCTTGACCTTTGTAACGGTGAATGTATTTGAAGAGAAAACGCTCACTAAGTCCAGTTGTTTTAGTTTAAGTTGCTGATAGTGGATTTTAAGACACAACATGTTTATCAGTGAGGCCATGAGACAAATGAGTATGAAGCACAACACTACAGCTTCCTTTAAGAACCACGTGCCCAGTTCTGACACTCAGTCTATGAGGCTGAAGGACCAATGGCATCAAGAACCATCAAGAACATGTAACTGCTCAGACTCAGATTTAAACAATAGGCTACACCATGTCTGTCATGAGACGCTGCTTCTTACATTTCAATTTGAGCTTGAACTGGGTAGTTGTTTGTCATTCAGGAGACAAATCTCTCAGTCTGTCCAGCTCTTTTGGTCACATGACAGAAGGTGGTTGAATTTAAACATAAAAATTCATCCATTCTGTTGTTTATATTTTCTGGAATCTTGTTCAGAAAAGATTGTAAACACTGTGTTGCTTTTGGTGTCACAGCCGCTCTAGTAAAAGCAGAGTCCAGTTTTTTCTTCATTTAAACCTATAAACAGAATCCAAACTATGAAAACTGCTAGAATCACTTCACCTCATTTCAAAATGCTGCAGATGCCCTGGATGCTTTTATTATGTATTTATTTGTTTGGTATTTTATTTTCATTGTGTTTTTCATTGTTATTTTATATCTAAAATGTCTCATTTCTTGCCCGCGCTCTTGGCCAGGGTTCTATTTGCCCTCCCCGCAGATTTATTCTGACGGGTCCACCGGAAATCCAACTCACATCCACTCACATCCACAGCCCGAACACTGATGAGTCAGATGTTATATTTAAACATATACTTAAGTGTGATTCTTCAGATGGAACACAGTGTGCCTCCAGTATCTTGTGAGTGGAGCAAGGACAGAGTTGCACTTGAAAATCATCCTAACGTGCATTAGATAAAGCACAAAACAAAAAGGCTTCCCTTTCGATTAGAGACAGTGATGTCATTGTCCATGGTTTCTGGACTGATTCATGAGCAGATTATTTATGTTTTTGTAAATTCATAAGTTTATGGAGGATCATTTGTTCCATTAGATTTTGAATTTTAAATGCTGTTGAATTTCTCACTTTGAATTTTTTTTAACTCTGAAAAAACATGTTTGAATTAATATCCAGTCTGAATTTTAGTTGTATATGTTTCAAATTCAAGACAGAAGTGTGCATCCTGTGAGAGCGAGGAGGACAGAGGCTGTTTCTTCTTGGCCTGTGGGCGGGGCTTACACAATTAAAAAAGACAAGGTTTTGATGAGGCTCATTCTGACCAATCAGATCACTTCACTGCACCATTTCCTGCAGTTACAAAGTTAGATCAGATCATTTTGGATCGATTGCAATTTTTTTTCACAGCAAATTTTACACTTTGAATTTTGACTGTTGAATGTGAGGACTTGAAATTATTTGGGCTGAATATTTAAAATACACACAACACACCTACACACATGCACACGCACACACCAACACATATATGAGTTGTGTGTGTGTGTGTGTATATACATATATACACAGCTGGTTCAAAAGGTCTACGACCTACTTTTGCTGTTGACCAGAATTCCGTTAGCTCTGGAGTAGTGTTTGTAGAGGGTTTATGGCAGGTACACTCACTGCACACACACTCACAGCACAGACGTGATTAATGTGTGTGTGCAGACACACACCTCTGATCTGAGGCTCAACTCCAGCTCTTCACCTGCTCCAGACCAGGTCAGCCCCCCCCCACACACACACACATACACATACACACACACACACAAACACAAAAAACGACACATATTAAGATGTGAGGCTGATTACAGGTGAACCAGTTGAGAAAGCACCATCAGAGGAGCCGTCTACACCAGGAGTAGAGAGACGTCCACCACCACCAGGAACCACCACACACTGAAAAAATGGTCCGAGGGGGGTTCCTCAAATTGCAAAAACAAATTTGACAACAATAACATCACTTTTTTACGTTTCTCTGTCAAGCATGTTTAAATCTTACAAACATCGCTTGATTGTGGCCGATGTGAGACCTGCATGTTTTAATCAGGTTGAGGAAACATGACTTTATTATCATTTCTGGTGAGGCTCCTCCCTCTGGAATTCTCCTCCCCAAAACCTTTGGCGGGAAAATTCAAATGTAACAGGACACAGGACAGTTGGATGAGCAGAGGACACACAGTGTGGAGCAGGAGGATTATGAGAGCTGATCTGGAGGTGAGACTTTTCAGAGATTTTATTATGTGCTTCTCCGGCCTAGAATGTCGTCATTGTTAAAACATGTTTGTGGTGTTTTATTTGAAATTAGAGTTAATGTAAGGACAGCTTGAAACTAATTGTCTTTGACTGTCCATCTACAAGAGTGTGACAGTTGTATCAGATGTGAATGTGTTTGTTCCAGAGTCGTCTACAAACACAGAGTGACGTCCAGGTTCTGCTGGAGCTGTGGGGAAGTTCATGAATGTTACAGCTGATGTTTCAGATAAAAGGAAGATGTTTGAGAACCAACAAAACACAGAGCACAGATGAACAAAGTAAGTAAACCAACTCAAATGATTTTAAAAGAAATTTTCAAAATGTACTTCTATTGAAACAGTTATTGTGTTTCTACAGGGTGATGTGGCACTAGGAGACTTTATACCAGATGCCCTCCCTGTTACTGCGTTTAGAGGAAGAAAAGCAGCACATGGTGAGTTTTGTTTCTGCAGATACACTTCTAATGTTCTTGTGATTCTGTTCTGGTCCATTATTGTAGTAACAATTGCTATAAGTGTATTTAAACATGTAGAACAGAGTAGATCATCAGAATGTGATCATCATGTGTTATTCTGTGTCCACAGAGACCAGAGCTTCTTCACTGGAATAAATCTTCACACTGTCCAGCTCCAAACTGTGTGTCTCTGTACTTGTGTGTCTCTGTGTGTTTGAGATTTGTATTTTAAGACAATACAGAACTGTGGAAAACTAAAGACTGTTTTTGTTTTCTTTTACAGAATTAGATCAATTAAATTAAATTATACATACTTATACATTTCATGATAAGGTAACATAAGATAAATATGCATATTCAGCATGATTTGATCAAATTTCATCAACATGAAAAAGTGATGTTCATGTTCCGAGAAAAATATGTGTAGAGGAGATCGAAAAAAGTTTCAAAGCCTAAACATAATTTTATTGCGTGCAACCGCTTTCCAGAACTTTTTTACGCAAATCCAGCAACTTTTTTTTTTCAGTGCAGGAGCCAGGGGAGAAATGAAGCCCAAACACCAACTCTCCACCAGGAGCCCACAGGACAGACCCAGCGACCACAGCCGACCTCCGCTCCTGATGCAGAGGCTCCTACAGAGGAAACACTGGAAATCCTAAAAATATGCCTAAAATAAATAAATATAATAAAATGTATACACTAGAAACAAGTAAAAGTATAAGATTTCAATCAAAAGCTAAACTAAAAGGTGGGTCTTGAGCCTGCTCTTAAAAACATGAACGTTCTCTGCAGCCCTGAGCTCCTTCAGCAGACAGTTCCATAGACGGAGGCCGTAGTATTGGAAAGAACTATTGAACTGTACTGAGTGTGCTAACAAGCTAGTTAGCTTGCTGATAAACAGAAAGTGTAAACAAATAGGTAGGGAGTAGTGAACAGAACATTTGTACCTCGGGAGAGGAGGACATTTACTGGACTCACTCAAACAGAAATGAAAGTAAACTCAATTCTTTGTCATCAGATCCAGTGTCAGGTCAGTTTGAGGGTAGTAACAGCACTAAGGACAAAAGTGTCCCTCATCTGTGCCCTCTGTGTCCTGCAGCATCGCAGCAGCCTCCAGGGGGCACCAGGTGAAGTCTGGAGACACAACAGGAAAGACCCTCTCCTCTGTCCACTCTGTTGTTTCGGTTGGTGATGAGACGGGACATTTGGGCCACACTTTGATGATGTAACAGGTTCAAAAAGTTGGCACAATCAAATCCCCTTCAGCATGTGAGTGTATAAAACCAAACCAGTGTTATGTGCAGAGTTTGAGTGCTGAGCTAAAAGCCTCCGTCTGCCTCTCTCCTTTGTCCACACTGCCTGTAGCTCTGTGTGAACAGAGCAGTGTGTGTGTGTGTGTGTGTGTGTGTGTGTGTGTGTGTGCGTGCGTGCGTGCATGTGTGTGTATTTGTGTGTATGTGTGTGTGTCTGTGTGTGCAAAGTCCTAAATAAGAGTCCTGAATATAATCCACTGCACTCTTATCTCACCACATTGAAGTGACTGTGTAGACGTCTGGGGAAATTCTTGTAAAAGTAACCCAGACTTATTGTTTAAATTACATAAAACAACAACAACAAAATACAAATAACTCACTAAGTTGATAGAGAACATATGAAGGCAATTTTTTGCCAGTCAAAGATATTGAAATTTAGCCTGATTCATCAGCCGGTTTTACTTCGTTTCACTTCGTAAAAACCGTCTGACCTCGCAGCCTTAGGATTCATTCACTCGACAGTAGGCAGGTACTTTTTATTATTTAACCAATCGCTGCTATTTGGTCGTGATGTATGTAATGCTCTGCTAACGGGGCTAACTGGTATATGAAGTTTTTCTCAAATCCTGTAGGAAGAAGAACAATAACGTCTTTCCCCTTGATTCACCAAACATTCTCTTTGTTCTGGCTTTAAATCCTCGATCTCGGGAATTGTTGACAACACAGAATGTCTGGCTCTTCGCTGATTGGCTGGTGCCTGAACTTTCATTTCCAGGGTTTTTGCAAACCATCTAGTGTACAGGAGAGTTTCAGCTGACGTCATTGTTATTAAAAGCCCGTGTTGCATGCTGGGAAGTATTTTGGTCGGAGGCAAGAAACACGATATCGGTCAAACACAGTGCGTAACCTCGCGTATTTCTCCCCGATAATGGTAAATTCCTGCTGCATTATCTGGATGCACAAATAGAAGCACGGAAGAAGGAAAATGTATTTTTCGTATTCTGAGTGAAAAGAACCACTAACGGTGAATTAAACGACTTTCAAACATTCGCAGAGCAAACGTAGAAGATCCTAACAAACCGTGGACTCCAACAAGTTCAACAACACATCCAGACTCTTGGAGGTTTTCATCTTTTCTGCTGTGAATGGCCCAGGAGTTTCCACCAAGTCATTGTGGATATCACCAAAGTGAATATTTATTTATTCTGACCAGAAATTTGGTTTCGTCGACTCTTTGTCGGGGTTGAAAAGGGTGATTTCTGGTCAAATGGTCTTGGGTCCTCTGCCGTTAGAGTGGATAAATAACCGGGATCAATACCCTTTACGTGCTTTCTCGCTCCGTCTGTCATGTTGAATTAGTGTTTACTGCCACTGACCAAAATAATTCCCAGCATGCAACGCACGCTTTTGTCAACAATGAAACTCGCCTATTCTGATTCCTGAACTAGTTGCTGGAGAGAAATGAAATTGAGTGGAGCCACTAGGTGGCACCAGCCTGACAAACTGAAATTTGAGGACCTGGTAAGATTTAAAACATGCCAAATCTTATTTAAAGCTAAACTCAGCCTGCTTCCAGAAAACATCCAAAAACTGTTCTGCACAAATTAATTCAAATACAACCTGAGAGATCAAATGAATTTTAAAAAACAATTCTCTTGAACCCCTCTCAAAAGCATGTGTGTTACAGACGTGGAGCAGACTTACCGAATATCTTAGATGATCATTTCAAAACTTGTACTAACTTGGTGCACTTAAAAAACAATATAAAACATTTTTTCAGTCTCATTGTGGTTTATTTTGAAGATGAGATCTAAGAAAAAAAAAGTGTATTTGTGTTCGAGGGGTGAGTATATGGAACAATCTGAGTGATGATGTTCTTTTAAAGTCTAACACTGTAGAAGTGTTTAAAAAGAGAATAAAGTGTTATGTTTGAAAGATCTAGAGCTCTGGAATGAATAACTCATGCATTCAAATGTTGTTTGTTTGAATTGATATTTTGTCTCTTATATTTACAGTAAGTCGTAAGTGAAACTGTAAATACAAACTTCCTGTTCAGATGCTGTTTTTCTTTCTTGGAATTCTGTTGTTGTTTAATCGGGTTTGACTTTAGAAGTACTTTTACTTCAGCCTAAACTCTTCTGGTCATGATCCATGGGGTTAGAGTTACACACACACACACACACACACACACACACACATGCACAAACGCACACACACACATGCACGCACACACACACATGGACAAACACACACACATGCACGCATGCACAAACACACGCACACCCCTGCACGCACAAACATACACATACACACACCACGCATACAAGCACACACACAGACACACACACACACACACTATGCATACAAGCACACACACAGACACACACACACACACTATGCATACACTCACACACACAGACACACACACACACTATGCATACACTCACACACACAGACACACACACACACACACACACTATGCATACACTCACACACACACACACACAAAGGAGAGACGTAGAGCGCTCCAGGCCTGTCCAGGACGTTAGTGGAGTTACATCATCTAATGCTGCCATTATGACTTGGTTTGGTGAGACAGAGTAGCCATAAAGTTTACTCGAGTAAGAGTAACTTAAAGGTAACTGTCAGGACGTGTCATCCACTTTATTGTTTGAAGTGAATGTAACTGGAACATTAAAGCGGCTGTTTCTGATCCACTTCTAATGTAGTTTCCTCATCACACACACACCTGGAGTTGTGTTTTGTTTCTTTCACATGTTTAACACACAAACTCTGCACATTTACACTGAGCTCTGCTCTCAAACAGAAAACACTCTTTTCTACCTGGTGATGTCATGTGGTAATAGAGAAGTGCTCCACTGTGTTTTTAAACTCCACACACCTTTGCTAGAATCATTTGGATCATTTCAGGTGGCTATTAACTTAAAAACTACAGATTTGTGACATCACAAGGTGAAAAAGAGCATTTTGAGCTTTGGAGATGTAGACAAACTAATAATAAAGGTGTTGTAGAAGTTTTCAGTTTGTCCAAGAAAGGGTGGAAGTAAAAGGCTGGAGACCAACTGGACGTCATAAGCAGGAGAATTGTATTTACCATTAATAATACAGCTCAGGGGACTTGAAAAAAATCAAGATAGTATGATTACAAAAGTGAACATAGTATGATTACAAAAGTCAACATAGTATGATTACAAAAGTCAACATAGTATGATCTTTGAGTGTTCAAGCCTCTTTGAACCTGCTTCTAGAGGAGGAGGTTTATAAAACAAGTGTGGTGAGACTATGAAGGTCAGTAGGCACCGGTTATGCCAGTGGAAGATGATGGTGTTACTGTAGCTCCTGTGAGTCAATGTTAAACGGAGAGATGTATGTGGAGGATAAATGACTTGAATTCTCTTACAGAAGTGTTACTCAAACATGTGTGAACAAAACAAGACACAACTCCAGGTCTGTTTTGAAGGAGGTAATAATATTACAATAACTTCACAAGAGCAAATGTTGTGTATATAGGACTTTTAACAAATGCACCAAATGTGGAATTTTTAGAAGACAGACACAAAAATGAGACAAACTAAATCAGATGTGAAGGAGCTGCAAGAACTGCAAAGGTTCAGATCGTTTCATATTGTCCCATAAAGCTTTTGTCACAGTGGGAAGAGGAGGAACAACTTCTAATATGTTACTCAAGAGTTGAAAAATAAAAAAGGTTACTCAAGAAATTGTAACTGAATACTACTGTATTATAAATGCTCCACTTCCATAAATACTTCTCATATTTTTACATCAGTTAAGAGTCAGTTAGTAGTGTTATGGTTTGGCAAGAGGGACCCCAAAGCAGAGCCAGGACTCAGTCTAGTTTTAAACAGTTTATTTCCCAAACGAGAGACAGGCTGAGGAGGCAGGCTGGTCGG